TATATATATATATATATATATATATATATATATATACAAAATCGTACTTACTGAAATAGTGATACAATAAAGAAGTTGAAATATATTTCATTACAATATCCGGTACTGAAATACTACATAATGATGGTACTGAAATATTACATAATTAATGTACTGAAATGATACATAATGATGGTACTAAAATACTACATAATTAAGGTACTGAAATGCTACATAATATAGGTACTGAAATACTACATAATAAAGGTACTGAAGTGCTACATAATTAAGGTACTGAAATGCTTATTAGAGACCTGTGTGCGTTTTGTACCTATACAATTTGTAAATTTACATGTAAATTGTAAATTTCTGTGTAAAGAACATACATATATCCCTGTGTATCATTTTGACTTAATTTAAGTTGTAAATGTAAACATTTACTTTATAATACTTGTAAATGTAAATGTAAATGTAAATTGTAAATTCTTTGTGTTAAGGCTTTATCCCTATGTAAAATATTTACTTAATATTACTTGTAAATGGAAATGTAAATTGTAAATTCTCTGTGTAAAGGTTATATCCCTGTGTAAAAATATTTACTTAATATTACTTGTACATGTAACTTTAAATTGTAAATTCTCTGTGTAAAGGTTTTATCTCTGTGTAAAAATATTTTCTTTATATTACTTGGAAATGTAAATTATCTGTGTAAAGAATAATTCTCTGTGTAAAATGTTTACGTTTTATTACTATAGTAAATGTAAAAGTAAATGCAAATTGTAAATTATCTGTGCTGTTTAAAAATATTGTAATTGTAAACAATTGTAATCAATTGTAAACGTAAATGTAAATTGTAAATTGTAAATTCTCTTTGTAAAGGTTATATCCCTGTGTAAAAATATTTACTTTTTATAACTTGTACACGTAAATGCTAATTGTAAATTCTCTGTGTAAAGGGTTTATCCCTGTTTTAAAATATTTACTTAATATTACTTGTAACTGTAAATGTAAACGTAAATTGTAAATTCTTCGTGTAAAGGTTTTATCTCTGTGTAATGGTTAATTCCCTGTGTAAAATGTTTACGTTATATTACTAGTAAATGTAAATGTAAATTGTAAATTCTCTATATAAAGGTTATAAATTCTCTGTGTACAGGATACATCTCTATGTAAAATATATTTTTTTACATAACTTTTTGTAAATGTAAATTGTCAATCTTATTTAAAAAAAAGATTCATATCAAGTCAAAAACAGTTCCTGAAGTGACGGGAACAGATCTTAAGATCTAAAGCTATCAAAAGTGACAATAATTTTTAATTAACCCGATATCAACAAATTGCAATAAGGGTACGACAGGACTTGTTTCTACT